CTTTGGGGCAGGGTAGAAGGCAGGGCAATACCAAGCGGTGGCAGCCCCAAAAAAAAGCCCGTGCACCGGGTGCTCATCCAGAGGTTTGCTAAAGATGCTGGGCCACTGTCTTCCCTCTGGGACCCATTTGCCTTTTCTTCTATGTGGCATGAGCACAGGCGCATCAGTGAAGGAGCCGCCCACCGGTGGCGACCATGGGGCCCCAGACGTAGAGGCCGACAGCCCCGTGCTTTTCACCCGGTTCTGGGAATGGAGTGGATTGTGCCCACGTCCCCATGTTTTTGGGCTAAGCATGCTGGTTCTCTCTGGCTTGCCCAGAAGGCACCCACCTTCAGTCCCTGGCGTCCCCACGCCGTTGCCAGTGTGGTCTGGCGACTCACGTCTTGGTTCGTTCCCCTCCCACCGCCAAACAGGGCGCCTTACTGAAAAAGACGGGCCTGGGGGTTCCTTCTTCACAGAGTTTACCTGCAGGTAGGTGGGTCTTGCCTCCGCCAGCGCTGGGCTGTCCTCATGAAGAAAGCACGGGGCCTCACCGTTGCCCCGGGGTGTGCGGGCCACCCGCTTTCTCCACAGGCTCTGGCCTGCGCCTTCCAAAGAAACCTGCCTCCTTCCTCTTATCAGGCCACCGTGGAATTGTTGTGGAGATTTTTTTTTTTTTTTTTTGAGATGGAAGTCTCGCTCTTTGCCCGCTTGGGCTGGAGCCGCCAGGCCGGATTCTCAGCTTCAACTGCAAAGCTCCGCCCTGCCCGGCGTTCACGCCATTCTCCTGCCTCAGCCTCCCGAGTAGCTGGGACTACAGACGCCCGCCCCCTCGCCCGGCTAGTTTTTTTTGGTATTTTTTAGTAGAGACGGGGTTTCACCGTGTTAGCCAGGATGGTCTTGATCTCCTGACCTCGTGATTCGCCCGTCTCGGCCTCCCAAAGTGCTGGGATTACAGGCTTGAGACACCGTGCCCGGCCTGTTGTGGAGATTAAATGATAAAAGGAGGCTAATTCTTTTTTGAGACAGTGTCCCTCTGTCGCCCAGGCTGGAGTGCAATGGCATGATCTCAGCTCACCGCAACCTCTGCCTCCGGGTTCAAGCGATTCTCACACCTTAGCCTCCTGAGTAGCTGGGGATTACAGGCGCCCACCACCACGCCTGGCTAATTTTTGTTCTTTTGTCTTTTGGTTGTTGTTGTTGTTGAGACAGAGTCTTGCTCTGTTGTCCAGGCCAGAGTGCAGTGGCACAATCTCAGCTCACTGCAACCTCTGCCTCCCGGGTTCAAGCGATTCCCCTGTCTTAGCCTCCCTGGGAGCTGGGATTACAGTTACCTGCCATCATGCCCAGCTAATTTTTGTATTTTTATAGAGACAAGGTTTCACCATGTTGGCTAGGCTGGTCTCGAACTCCTGACCTCAAGGTGATCTGTCCCGTCTCAGCCTCCCAAAGTATTGGGATTACAGGAGAGCCATTGCACCCGGCCAAGACGCGGTGAGTTCTTAGCGCTGTGCCTGGCACGTGATCAACTCCAAGTGTTGTCATTTTCTCCCTCCCTTCAAACTCCTGGGATGTCCGCAGAGGTTTGGGGTGTGCGTGGCCCCACTGAGCTGCACAGTGGCGATGGTGGCTGTGCCATCAGCATCACCCAGTGTCTGTCCCAGGTACTGCAGCATTTCACCTTTGCTGCACCTTCTCTGGCCAATAGGCCTGCACCGAGGATGCACACGTGTGCGATATGGTGGAACTTGCCGCTTAGAGAGGTGAAACGACTTGCCTGAGGTCACACAGGGAGGGAGGGCGGCCAGCGAGGCCTGGCCTGGTGCCCCTGTAGCTTCCAGGGCTGCTGCGGTGCCCAGGGCCCTGCTCAGTGCAGGGGCGTCTCATGCAGACTGGGAGCGAGGCACCCACCTTGCCAAGTGAGTAGAGTTGAGGATGAACCCGTGGTCCCTCGCATCATGTTGTTTTAGGGGTTTAAAAAAAATTGTTATTTAACAGCTTTATTGAGGTATAATTCACATGCTATACGATTCACCCTTTTAAAGTGTACAGTTTAATGGTTTTTACGTGTGTGTTTTGAGACAGAGTCTCACTCTGTTGCACAGGCTGCAGTACAGTGGTGTGATGATGGCTCATTGCAGCCTCAACCTCCCAGGCTCAAGAGATCCTCCCATTTCAGCCTCCTGAATATCTGGGACCACAGGCACACGCCACCTGGCTAATTTTTTAATTTTTTGTAGAGATGGGGTCTTGCTCTGTTGTCCAGAGTCTGGTCTTGAACTCCTGGGCTCAAGCGATCTTCCTGTCCTAACCTCACAAAGTGCTGAGATTACAGGTGTAAGCCACTGCACCCAGTGAGTTTTTAGTATATTCACAAAAGTATACAACCTCACCCCATCTAATTCTGGGAGTTTTTCATCACGCCAAAAAGAAACCCTGTACCCATTGGTAATCCCTCCCCCCGCCAAGCCCTCCCCAGTATGAGGCAACCATGTGTCTCTGGATTTGCCGATTCTGTACATTTCTTCTTCTTTTTTTTTTTTTTTTTTTTTTTGAGACAGAGTTTTGCTCTTGTTGCCCAGGCTGGAGTGTAGTGGTATGATCTCTGCTCACCGCAACCTCCGCCTCCCAGGTTCAAGCGATTTTCCTGCCTCAGCCTCCTGAGTAGCTGGGATTATAGGCATGTGCCACCACGCCTGGCTAATTTTGTATTTTTAGTAGAGATGGGGTTTCTCCATGTTGGTCAGGCTGGTCTCGAACTCCCGACCTCAGGTGACCTTCCCGCCTCAGCCTCCCGAAGTGCTGGGATTACAGGCGTGAGCCACCGCGCCCGGCCGATTCTGTACATTTCGTATCAGTGGCATCACACGAGCGTGTGGAGTCTTTTTTTTTTTTTTTTTTTTTTTTTTTTTGAGACGGAGTCTCGCTCTGTCGCCCAGGCTGGAGTGCAGTGGCCGGATCTCAGCTCACTGCAAGCTCCGCCTCCCGGGTTCACGCCATTCTCCTGCCTCAGCCTCCCGAGTAGCTGGGACTACAGGCGCTGCCACCTCGCCCGGCTATTTTTTGTATTTCTTAGTAGAGACGGGGTTTCACCGTGTTGGCCAGGATGGTCTCGATCTCCGGACCTCGTGATCCGCCCGTCTCGGCCTCCCAAAGTGCTGGGATTACAGGCTTGAGCCACCGCGCCCGGCCGAGCGTGTGGAGTCTTTTTTCTGGACTCTTTCTGTCAGCATCAGGTTCTTTCTCATTGGAGCGCAAGTCAGCGCTTCATTTCTTTGTGTGGATGGGCCACATTTTGTGGTCCATTCTTTCGTTGGCAGACACTTGGGTTGCTGAGACCACACAGCATGCTTCTCAGCCAAGCCACCTCAGGCAATGCGTGCAGGGTCCCTGAGGTAGGGTGGCAGCTGACAGGCCCCGCCTTTGGTAATGAGAGCCCCCTCTTGCTGCAAAGTCCTTGCAAAGTCCTTTCGTCACTGTGGGACATGCCAGGCTTCTGCCTGCCCAGCGGAGCCCAGTGCAAGGGGCTGTAGGCCCTGCCCATTTCTCGGGATGTCCGTGTGACCACCCCCTGTCTCATGACAACCCAGGGTTGGGTCAGTTGCCCCCTGAGAGAACAGTTGCTCAGGCCCTGCAGCAGGTGGACTGTGGGGCCTCGGTGAGTCTCCTCCCCCCTTAAGCCTCGGCTGCTCCCTGGTGGTTGGACTCTCGGGGGCCCTGCTGGCCAGGACACCCCAAGGCATCCACAAGGGCGGTGACACCCCCTCTGTGTTTACCTTCAGAATCAGCTGCTGACAAAAGGCATGGTGATCCTTCGGGACAAGATCCGCTTCTACGAGGGTGAGTGTGGGCCCCGTGGCGGCCACTCTGGACCGTGCTGGGTGCTGGCTGGCTGCGGGGCCTCATGCTGGGGCGTCTTGGTGCGAGGTGTGGCTCTCTGGTCCGGAGGGCTTGGAAGGACCACATACAGCCTTGGGGCAGCAGGGCCGAGATCCCTACCCAGAGGGGACCCTGGGAGAGGGTCTGCCCCCCCGAACTTGCTGGAGCCAAGGAGGGCTACGAGACATCGGGGAAAAGCCCTGCTTCCCCTCCCTGCCCACGGGGCTTTCCGGGCCTGGTGAGTTCTGTTCCCGCAGCCTGGAAGAACCCCTGTCCCGGTCTTTGCAGTCAGAGGAGAAGTGGGTTAGGGCTGAGGTCGCCGATACTCACAGAGGAGGGGACGGGGTCCAGGGCTCAGCTGAGTTTTCTCTGTCGAGGCTCCCAGCCACCCACGGGGACCTTCAAGTTCTTGTTCCTGAGTGGGAGAGCACAGTGATGAGAGGTGATTTGCCTACAGCTACCATGCACGTCGGGGCGGAGGCGGGACTCGAACCCAGGTCTGCCTGACTTTAGGGCACACACCCTTTACCCTTCTCATGGCAGAGGGCGAGGTCCCCGCTGGTTTCACAGTGCAGGATGGGCTCCCTGTGGCCGAGAGCCTCGGGCAGCAGCAGCAGAAGCGTGTGCAACCTTGCAGGAGCGAGCTGCCCTGGGAGCGGGGTCAGCTGACGGGGGCCACGCAGTTCCCACAGATGCTGCTTTGCTCAGGCCGTGCTGAGCTCCCGGCCCTGTGCTGGGATCTGCCTGCGCTGTACCTGTGTGTTGAGCACCTGTGCACCGGGCACTGGGCGTCTGCGTCCCTCCCTGCTAGACTGTCCCGAGTGTTTCACATCTACTAACTCATTTGATTTCCACAACCCTGTGAAGAAGCCACCATTGTTAGCACTGAACATGGGGAAAGTGAGGCACGGTGTCCCTCCCAGGCTACACAGCTGCTCCGTGACAGAGCCAGGGTGCCAAGCAGGCCACCGGCTCCCAAACCCATACTCTTCACTCTACTGCCCCAGGCTGCTCCTCCAGGCCTCCCTCTGACCCTGGGAAAAAGAGTTATTAGCCCGCTCCACAGAGGAGGACACAGGCCCAGAGGCCTGACATGTTCAGGGGACCTTGGAGCTGCATGTCATGGTCCTTCCTCACCTCCAATGCACATGTTGGGTGGGTCCAGCCAAGACAGGAACACGAAGAGAGGCTATGAGAACCATCAGACCGTGGGGGAGACACGGGGGTTCTGGGAAGGCTTCCTGGAGGAGGCAGCATCTAGGCTGGCAGGACAGAGCTGTGAGCATTTGGCACCTGAGGAAGATGCCCGCCCACGCCCCTTGCCTGATGCAGCACATTCCAGTAGTGCCTGTGCCTCCCACCAGGTCTGGCCCAGGGGAGCTGGGGCTCTCGGAGAAGGGAGTTTTGTGTGACTTGAGTGGAGCTTTGTCCGGAGCAGCCTCCCAGCAGTGGTGCCTGCCCAGCAGAAGGGGCAGAGGGCAGCCCTGAGAGGCCCCACCTAGGGGCCCAGCATCCTCTTCCACCTCGCCAACCCTGCCTGGTCTCCCCAGGCCTCAGGGACAGGCACTGGGCTCTAAGCTGGGAGTCCAAGGCCCTGGCCTCCAGTTCCCACGAAGTTGCAGACACAGGGTTTCCTCTTCGGCCTCAGCACCCCTGTCTTAGCAATGTGGGTTTGAACAGTCTCTGTCCACTTGAGAGTTCTCTCCATGTCAGGCCCAGGTGACCTCTGGGGCCCCAGAGATGGAGGAGACCCTGGCCCTGCCCTGCAGGGACTCACAGCCCAATTGGGGACACAGACACGGACCAGAGGGTGACGGTCCAGTGTGATGAATGTCAATGTGAAGGAGTGTCCTGGAGAAGAAAGGGTTCATTCTACCTTGACAGTCAGAGGGCTGCATGGAGGCAGTGGCCCTTGAGTAGGGCCTCAAAGTGTGGTCTGTTCAGGGGAATGTCTGGTCCCTTTCGGCCCCATGCAATGGGGGCATAGCCAAGTCCACACCCTGATGGGTGGCCTCAGGGGCCTCCCCCTTCCTGCCCCCGACCCCTGCTTGAGTTCCAGTGGGAGCTGTCCCTCCAGAGCCTGCAGCTCTGCCGGAGGGTGGTGATGGCCTCCTGTGGGGCAGCCCCAGGACCTTGCCCCCTGCCCCTTCTCTGCCTCCAGGGAGGCCTTGGACTTCAGCCCCTGGGCAGAGTGGGTCCTGGAAGCAGAGAGCCTGGAGGAGCGGCCTTGAGGTGGAGGGCTCCCTCCCTAGGAAGGGGAGGAAGGCTGGACCGAGGCCGGGGTGGTTGTTCGATGGCCTCTGTGTGGCTTAAGGGAATCGGCTCCAGCTGCAGCCGGGCAACTCCTTGGCAACCTGAAACTTGGGACCTCTGGGCAGGAGCTCCTGGTCCTCTGCCGGGCCCTGGGATCTGCCGTCACTCGTCCACCAGGGAATCCAAACCCAGTGTGGGTCACGTTATCCAACTGTGCTGCTTTACACACTTGCCTCCATGCCTGTGCCTCGGCCGTCCCCACGCCAGACGCCCTTGACCTGGTCCACCCAGCGCATAGTTTTTCACACTGCCCTGTGCTCCTTCCTGTTCCTGGGTCTCCCGACAGGGACTGAGACAGGGTTGTTCATTTCCAGGGCCTGCACAAGGCCCTCAGCACTCAGACAAAGGAAAGACCCCGGCCTGCGCCCACAGTGGGAACCGCAGGGTGGGAGCCAGTGTGGAGCTACTTCGGGGCCGCTCGCCTGCATCAGCCCCTGCTACTGCTGGGCTGGAGTCAAGGCACGGCGCACGCGCACCCCGGCCCCGTCCTGCCGGCAGCAAATGCCCAGTGCTGTTTAATCTCCACTTTCCACCTGCCCACGTGGGGACGTGTATCACACCCCTTTCATAGAGGATGCCACTGAGTCCGCCCGGAGGAACTTCCTGGGGTCGCCCCCGTGCCTGCCTCTGACTAACCCTACTGCCCCACAGAGGGGCCCCACCAGCCACGAGGCTGCCCTTCCTGGCCTCTTGTCACCGTGTGGCTCCAGCTGGGGCCTGGATTCTGTTTTACAACATCTGCTTTCCGCAGGATTTCCGCCCCGTGGGCTGGAGAACAGCCTGCGCTCAGCAGAACGTGGGCTTGGCCGGTGCCCAGAGCCACCCCCCGGCTGGCCTGGGAACTGAGCCGCCTTTCTTCCTGCCGCGGCAGAGGGGAACTGAAGGGACTTTGTGTGCGGGCACGGTTTGGCGGGGCGGTGAGCATCCGCCCGTCCGGGGTATTCCTGCTGGCCCCCGTCGCCCTCGGAGCCAGGCGTGGGCTACCCGGGAGGGCAGAGGGCTGGCCACCAGGCCGGGAGCCGAAGATGGGGACCAGTACAGCTCGCCCCCAGCCCCCAGGGCTGCTCCTGGCTGGGTCCCACTCCTAGTGCCCTCGAACCTACATGAACCTGGGGGCTTCCAGGAGTAGGGGCAGGGCCCAGAGAGTGCGGAAAAGAGGCAAAGGTCCCTGTTCAGCCTCCACGTTCCCATGGAAACTTCAAAGCAGTTCTGGCCGGGGCTGCAGCCTGAGAGACAGCCGGCGACGCTTTTCTCTTCACTCAGAGGCGGCCACACCAAGATCTCTCTCGCCAGTTGCTCGTCTGGCTTCCGGTGGACAGCAGAGGCCTTGGGGACACGCCCTTGGACTGTGCATCCCTGGACCCAGCAGCCCTCATCCCAGCACCGCTCAGTCCGGGCAGAAAGGCCAAGGGTCCTACACATTGCCCTTCCCACCGGAGCTCAGAGCCAGCTTGGGTGGCTGTCCCCATCCCACAAGGGTCACTCACCCAGTGAATGGCACCGTTCCTCCCAGGGCCAGCAGAAATCCTGCAGAGCTGGTCCCGATGTCTGCTACCTGTGTATCTGCTTCAGAGGCTCACCTGTCAAGATGTGTCCCCATACCACTAAGTCTGGCAAGCCCAGCTTGGATCGCCCCTCCTCCAGGAAGCCCTCCCTGCCTGACCCTCTGCACCCTCTCCTCCCTTGGACTTGGTGCTGCTATTGGAAGTGGTCTCCGTGGCTCCCCAGACCTGACCACAGGCAGCCTGAGCTGGCCTGGCCCTGGGTCCTCCGGGCGACTGACTGTGGTGCACCCTTTCCTCGGAGGCTCAGCCTCTGTCTGCTTGGTGGGGGTCAGTCACTGCTAGCCACTGCCCTTATGATCCTGCTCAGTGTCCCACTTCCCTGCCATGTGATGGATCAGTGGCTGTTTGGGGCTCAGCTGGGTCCCCAGTGCCCAGTATCAGGGCTAACACAGAGTAGGTGTTCTGTAAATGTTTGCTGGAGGGGCAGGCAGTGTAGGGGGAGGAGGGAGGAGGTCGGTGGGTAGGTGAGATCAACTGCTTAACTGGGTTATTAGGAGGATCTGATGAGAGTAGGGTGTGAGCTGAAACTGCTGTGCCAATCACACCTGTGTGGGTCTCACCTGTGCTGGGTGTACCTGTGTGGGTCTTGCCTGTGTAGGTCTCCCCTATGCGGGTCTCACCTGTGCTGGGTGTACCTGTGGGGTCTCACCTGTGCCAGGTGTACCTGTGTGAGTCTTACCTGTGCAGATCTCCCCTATGCGGTTCTCACCTGTGCCGGGTGTACCTGTGTGGGTCTCACCTGTGCCAGATGTATACCTCTGTGGCTCTCACTTGTGTGGGTCTGGTATGTGACAAAGGCCTGGGAATTGGTAGCTGTCATCTGCCAGGAGCAGACCCTGAGCCAAGTTCCCTGTTCTCATTTCATGCCCTCAGCTCTGGGAGGCTGATCCCTTAGCCCCATTTTATAAATGGAAGACAGAGGTTAAGCAGTGGGCCCAGGGCCACAGAACAGCTGAGCTGTGGAGCTGGACGTCGACCTTGGGCAGGTGCCTCCAGGGGCCTGAGCCCAGTCCCTCCACTCCCGCATCCTCCGACAACCCATCCTGGGTGAGTGGAGGCATCTGCCAGAGCCAGCCAGGCCCAGTGGTGACGGCCCCCCTGCCCACAGGACAGAAGCTGCTGGACTCGCTGGCAGAGACCTGGGACTTCTTCTTCAGTGACGTGCTGCCCATGCTGCAGGCCATCTTCTACCCGGTGCAGGTGGGCGGCCCAGCCCTGGGGAGGGAAGCCCAGTGCCCCTGCCGTGCCCACCCTGGCCTGCCTCTACAGAGGGGGGCTGCCGGGCTGGGGGACGCACACACCTGCTCTGCTCTGTGCTGCTCTCCTTGGGCTTTCTGAGTTGCTCGGAGCCTGTTTCCACCTGCTCAAGCTGCAGATATGGACGCCTCCCTCCCCGTGAGTCCCCCAGCAGCAGCAGCAGCGAGGCACAGAGTAGGGGGCTCTGTGACAGTAACCCTTTCACTGCCAGAGGAAACTGAAGGGACCCTCTATCCTTGGGACAGGGTCATCTGAGGAGAACGGGTGGAGGGGCCTGAGGGTCAGCAGGTCTTTTCCCCCTTTGGGGTCCCAGGGCCGGGAGAGAGGAGATGACGCCTGTGACCGCAGCTGGTGGGGTGGGGTGCCTTCCCTCCACAGGGCAAGGAGCCGTCGGTGCGCCAGCTGGCCCTGCTGCACTTCCGGAACGCCATCACCCTCAGTGTGAAGCTAGAGGATGCGCTGGCCCGGGCCCATGCCCGCGTGCCCCCTGCCATCGTGCAGATGCTGCTGGTGCTGCAGGTGGGTGCAGTGGGCACAGTGTCGGGCATGGGGACCGTAGGGCAGTAATTGGGCTCAGATGCCCACAGGCAGAGCATGAGACGAGGATTTAGGGGCACGAGATTTAAGGAAGGGCCCGATCAGAGGAGAAGCCTGTCAGGACCTGGGACCAGGGAGCAGCCGGTTGGAGCTGTGGGTTCAGGAGAGCTCAAGCCGCAGACCTGTTCCTCCTAGGCACAAGGCTGGGCCTTTACACCCTGCGTCGGCCAGCCTGGGGTTGTAGCCACCTCCAACACACACATGCACACGCACATACTATACACGTGCATGCTTGCACACACTACACGTGCATGTGCACTTACTACACACATGCGCGGATGCACACGCACGCACAGTGGCCCAGTCATTTCTGTCCAGAGGTCTTTCGTCAGTGGGTCAGCTCTGGGGAAGACATTCTGAGAGCTGTTAGCCCCCCTCACAGCAGGTGGGGAGAGGGTACCTGCCCCAGAAAGGAGTGGGGCCCCCAGTGGCATCCACCGCAAGCCGGGGGTTTCCGCACACTGCCCTTCCCAGGCACCACACTTCGCGATTGGCCAGCTCATAGCGCTGTTGCAGGACCGCACAGGCACTGCCGGCCACCCCATTTTACAGGTAGGAGACTCAAGTCCTGCTTGCTGGGAGCTAACAAGGGCAGGAGCCCAGCCATACCCCAGGTCTCGCAGGTGCAAAGCCCTCTTTATCGTTCTGAATTCCCGTGAAGACCTTTTAAAATTAGGGTCTGTGGGGACACTCCCAGCACTTTGGGAGGCCAAGGCGGGCAGATCACAAGGTCGGGAGATCAAGACCGTCCTGGCCAACATGGCGAAACCCTGTCTCTACTAAAAATACAAAAAAACTAGCCGGGTGTGGTGGCGGGCGCCTGTAGTCCCAGCTACTCGGAGGCTGAGGCAGGAGAATGGCGTGAACCCAGGAGGCGGAGCTTGCAGTGAGCCGAGATCGCGCCACTGCACCCCAGCCTGGGCGACACAGCGAGACTCCGTCTAAAACAAAAATTAGCTGGGCGTGGTGGCGCATGCCTGTAATTCCGGCTACTCGGGAGGCTGAGGCAGGAGAATGGCGTGAACCCAGGAGGCGGAGCTTGCAGTGAGCCGAGATCGCGCCACTGCACCCCAGCCTGGGCGACACAGCGAGACTCCGTCTAAAACAAAAATTAGCTGGGCGTGGTGGCGCATGCCTGTAATTCCGGCTACTCGGGAGGCTGAGGCAGGAGAATTGCTTGAACCTGGGAGGCAGAGGTTGTAGTGAGGTGAGATCGCACCACTGCAGTCCAACTTGGCAACACAGTGAGACTCTGTCTCAAGAAAAAAATAATTCTACCCCCGTGTATCTTGTGCCTGAACCACCTGACAGCCCCTTGAGGCCTGCTGTCTTCCATTATTCATGGATTCACTCATTCATTCATTCATTCATTTAATGAGGGCAAGCACTCGCTATATGTCAGCTTTCTCCCAGCCCTCTGTGTGGGATGCTGGGGTCACAGAGCTTTTGTCCCCGCTCAGCACACAGCTGGGTGAGCAGCCTCATCTCCCAGACCGTGGCTCGAATACGCCTGGAGGTAGCGGTGAGCTCTTCAGAGCTCCGGATGAGGGGAGGTGGCCTGAGACAGGGATGGGAAGAAGAGAGGGGCTTGTGAGGAGGTGTCTGATGGATGGGGCCTGCACCTGGCCCCGTGGGGCAGGGAGCCCCAGGTGAGCATCTTGGCCCTCCCTGGGTGGGGTCAGCCAGTGTCTCTGGAGAGACTGTCCAAAGCCTCTAGGACTCTTGAGTACGGGGCCCCTCTGAGGGGTGGAAGGTGCAGAACGCCCATCTCATCTGGCCACAGCCTTTTTCCAGGGCACACCGTGGTCTCCCAGGTCATGATGCTGCTGTGAGCAGCAGAGTGACTCAGGCCACATGCTCTGAGAGGGGCTGGGAGACCACTGTGGGCCCTGCCATGGGGACAGAGAGCCCATGGGAATGGGAGGTGGGAGGCAGAGGACAGGCTCTCTGGTGGGTGGGACATACGGTTGAGAGCCTGGGGCCACCAAGCTCAGGTGCATGACCCCCCCTACCCCCCACCCCACTCTCCTGCAGGGGGTACATGAGTCCAGGGGCGTGACCGAGGACTACCTGCGTCTGGAGATGCTGGTTCAGAAGGTGGTGTCACCATACCTGGGCACCTACGGCCTCCACTCCAGCGAGGGGCCCTTCACCCATTCCTGCATCCTGGGTAGGGGTCTGCCTGGGCCTTGGGCTGGGGTAGGGGTGACCATGGGCCCTGTCCATTGTGAACAGATGGGCAAGCCGAGGCCCCATGACAGAACCAGGATCTGACTCCAGACTGGTTCTCAGCCGGGCAGCAGCCCCCAGCCTGCCGTGTGCTGGCCTGGACCTGGGGATCCGTGACGGTGGACTAACACCGTGAGCAGTAATGTGGTGACACCTTGGAGAGTCCCACCAGGGCTCTGCGTTCCCCAGGAGGCCACAATCATGGACAGTCTTGAAAGTCAGAAATGGGTCCGGCGGAGTGCTCAGAACATGCACATGCTGAAGCCTGAGGACTCCTGGCTCAGTTAGGGAACTGAGGCTGGGAGGGACGAGGTCTGGGGGTGGGCGGCATCGCGGGGCTACCCGGTGCGTCCAGCACAGCTGGCCACATTGCTCCCTTGACGGAGAGCCTCTGCGATCCTGCAGCAGTGTCCTCTGAGTACCTGCTGTGCACCAGCCCGAGGCCACGCCCCTCCCCTCCAGTGGGGGAGGCCGACCAGTGAGTCCCCTCCGTGTCCCACCATTAGCTGGAGGCTGGGAGCATCCCAGGCAGAGGGAACAGAGCTGGGGCAAGGCCCACTTGGGACTATGCCCTCCTCATCCAGAGGGGCTCCCCATCCCCACCTGCTGGTGTAAAACCTGCCTACCGGTGTGTCTCAGCTCAGGTGGTGCCCTGGCCGCTGGAGAACTTTGAGCCACTCAGGCTCGGTGTAGCCCTGGGTGGCAGGACCTCAGCCTGTGCCTGATGGGACCTTCTTCCCCTGGTCCGGGAAAGGCCCCTGAGCCGCTCATGTGTGTCGCCTGCCACCTGGTGGCCACTCTTTGGACTGCAGGGTCCCAAATGAGAGCCCGAACCCTGCCCTGTCACCAGCCTCAGCCACCAGTGCCACTACCTCCTGCCCAGATGACCCAAGGGGCCTCCTCCCCGAGTCCCCATGTCTGCCCTCGGCCCCCACAGTCTATTACTCTCCATGCTGCGGCCAGTGAGGCCCATTTACAACTGCCTGACCACAGGCTCCCTGCACCCCCAGGATGGAATCCCCGCCTTGACCTTACATGGAGGGCCTGTCCCCATCTGCCCCCATCATAGCCCCACAACCTGGCCCATGGCTCGCCTGCGTGGACTTCTTGCCGCCCCCCGCTTCATCCCCTTGGACATCAGCTCCAGTGGGGCAGGGGCTGTACCTGCCTAGGAAAGTGTAGACGTCCAGCAGGTGCCAAAGTCCATACACTTCCACAAGTGGAGAAACTGAGGCACGGGGGTTAGGTAACTTACCTAGGGTCAAACACAGGTTGCTGGCAGGGTGCAGGTCCAAACCCAGGCATTTGACTTGAGGTCCTGTGTGTCCAGGCTGGGCCTAGGCTGGAGAAGAGAGACCAGAACCTGAGCTAGTGTCAGAGCTTGTGGTGGCAGGACCTGCTGGGCTGGGCCTTCCCCGCAGCTGCCCCTGCACGAGGACCCAGTGTGCAGCGAGCAGCAGGTGCTGAGGTAGGCGGGGACACAGGTAGCCTCCGGTGTGACAGTGCCCATGTCTCTCCCCAGAGAAGCGCCTCCTCCGCCGCTCCCGCTCGGGGGACGTGCTCGCCAAGAACCCGGTGGTGCGCTCCAAGAGCTACAACACGCCGCTGCTGAACCCCGTGCAGGAGCACGAGGCGGAGGGCGCAGCGGCCGGCGGCCCCAGCATCCGCAGGCACTCTGTGTCGGAGATGACGTCCTGCCCCGAGCCCCAGGGCTTCTCCGACCCGCCCGGCCAGGGCTCTGCCGGGGCCTTCAGGTCCTCCCCAGCACCCCACTCAGGGCCCTGCCCCAGCAGACTCTACCCCACAACCCAGCCCCCTGAGCAGGGCTTGGATCCCACCCGCAGCTCCCTGCCCCACGCCAGCCCGGAGAACCTGGTGGACCAGATCCTGGAGTCCGTGGACTCAGATTCTGAAGGGATTTTCATTGACTTTGGCCGGGGCCGGGGCTCTGGCATGTCCAACTTGGAGGGCTCTGGTGGCCGGCAGAGTGTCGTGTGAGGCCTCACAGCTGGCCTTGAGTTTTTACTGACACGTCCCCATGTGCGGAGGTGTCCATGTGGCGTGTGTGTGTGTGTGTGAGACTTTTTTACTCTGTGCCGTCCCGCCAGCCCTGGTGACCTCCTCACTGGCCTCAGTCGCTTTGTGTTTCTGTCTTGGTTGGAAATACCATCAGCCTCCTAGGCCCGGCCCAGGTCTGTGTCAGGCGGATGAGTCAGCATTACCTGGGGGCCTGGGTCAGGGACAGGGGTCGGCCGCTCGCTCCCACGCTCCTCCTGCCCCAGCCCTCTGGCGTCCACACCTGCCCGCAGAGAATGTGAATCTGGTGGGGTCTGCCCACGCCGGGCCCCAGAGTGACCAGACTCCAGCACACCTGTCTCTTCCTGCCTGGGGTGGCCATGGGGATGGAAAGGGGTGGAATAAAACCTGTCGACCCAGCTCATGTCTGCGGTGCCTGCGCTGGGGACGCCCCTTCAGGGTGCTCACCCTCAGGCCTTTGCAACTTTCTAGGGAGCACAGGTTCCCAGGGTCTGCGTGATGGGGGCCGACCTGTGCCTGTTGTCCAGGCCTCCCTACTGCTCCACCATCCCTGTCACTGATGGCAGGATCGGGAGATTGTGGACGGAAGGGCTGGGATGCTCGGGAGTGGGACTGGCCCTGACTTTGCCCCGGCCTTAGCAGGGAGGAATCACTGAAGCCTTTGAGGGAGGGAAGGAGGGGTGGGGGCGGGATCTGCCAGCTCTTCTTATGCTACAGAAGCGCCCAGGGGGCCTGGGGCGGGGGGGTGGTGACCTGCTGAAGGCCACCTGGCCTGGGAAGGACAAGTTAGCACCTGCTCTCACCTCCCCTGCAGCCTCAGACAGGTTTTCCCGAGTCCCCAGGTGGTCAGGATTCCCCCCTCAGCCACAGCAGGCAGGGCCTGCTCCCTGTACGCCCCTCAGTGAGGCCCAAATGTTACTGAGAGCCAGAGGCCAGCCCAGCACCACGGGCACTCTGACTTTCAGGGCAGGAGCTGAGCCTGAGGTAGGCTTCCCTGGCCAACCCCGCCCTTTTTAAGCATCGGGTCAGCGTGGCCTCCATGGGGAGGGGTGTGGGGGTCTCTGATGGCGGGCATCTTTCCACACCGCGTTCACCTGCTGATCCGCCACCCCAGCAGCCTTCCACGCGCTCGCCTCTTGTGGCGTTGATTTTCTCAAGGTGGGGAAGGAGTGCTGAGCAAAAGAAAGGCCCAGGGCGGGGGAACTGGGTGGGTGTGAGCCGGGCGTGAGCAGGAGGCGGCCATCACCTGACCTCTGAGTCATGGCCGGAGCTGGCCCAGGCTGTCTGCCAGCAGAGCCTTCGGGATGGAGGAGTTTCCCTCTCTGGTGGGAAAAGCAGACCTGGCACCCCTGCTTCAGCTCAGGATAGGAGGGTGTAGGGGTGGGGGCGGGGGGAGCTCCGGCTTTCTGACTCTGCTGAACCTCAGTTTTGTCATCTGTGATATGCCAACCCTGTGGAGCTCTCTGAAGCTGCTCGGAATGGGTAATAGCCCCAGGCAGGGCTCAGCTGGGCAAGGAGAGGAGCAAGAGCGGCCTCAGGTCCCAGGCCTGGGGGCAGGTGGTCATTGAACAGGAAACCAGAACCTGGTCTGAGAACCACTAGGCCAGGCTGACGAGGCCGAAATCCCTGAACCAAGCTCTGGCTCCCAGCTGCATCATGGAGCCAGAGGTGGCCTGGCTTGGGGAGTAGTGGGTGACCATTAGCAGCAGGGTTGCCAGCAGCCATCTCAAGGCAGGAGGACCAATGACCAGAAGCCGTGGCAGGGAGTTGCTGTCTGGGCTCTGTCTTCACTACGGTACTAGACCCTCTATTCTGCCCCCGAGTGGTGGGGGCCCCATCATGGGGGGGTCAAGCATCCTGGACGCTACAGGGCCTAGGGTGGCCCAGGCACTGGTGGCCCCTGCTGGCTGGCACTTGGGCCCATGGCAAGGCGATCCCTGAGCTCTCTGTCCTCCCTCCCTGGGGCAGGAGAGGAGGCCCCTGGGCAGCAGCCAGCAGCATCCCTAACCATAGATGGGGGAGCTGCAGCCCAGGAGGTGGGTGCTGGGCCTGGGCCCTGCAGCAGCCCAGGGGGCTCAGTGGGGACGCCAAGGAGGTGACGAGGCTGCACTCCCAGCCCTGTAAAGCAGCAGCCCACCAAGAGGGAGTGTGTGTGTGTCCCAGCCTTGCTCCCAAAGATGTCAGAGGTGATCTGCATTCAGACATCTTAGAAATTGGTCACCTGTAATCCCAACAGAGTCTCGCTCTGTCACCCAGGCTGGAGTGCAGTGGTGCAATCTCATCTCACTGCAACCTCTGCCTCCTAGGTTCAAGCGATTCTCCTGCCTCAGCCTCCCAAGTATCTGGGATTACAGGCATGCATCACCACACCCAGCTAATTTTTGTATTTTTAGTAGAGACGGGGTTTCACCATGTTGACCAGGCTGTTCTTGAACTCCTGACCTCAGGTGATCCACCCACTTCAGCCTCCCAAAGTGTTGGAATTACAAACATGAACTGCTGCACCCTGCCCCTGTTTATCTTTTAAGGAATAGAGTGACTCACGGAAGAGGCATGGGGAATCGTGCGCTCCATCCTGTCTGCTCTTCAAGGCATCCCCCTGGAGAGCTGCGCCTTGTCACAGAGTCAGGGCTTGGTGACATTATGTTGACAACAGAAATGAGCAGATGGCTTCTTATATTTGCTGCTCTGTCTCCCACACCCTAAGGTTTGTTAAAAGAGTGAAATCGCTGGCTAATTAGTGGTTGGTCTACCTTGGGTGTCTCCAGGGATGTCCCCAGTGGGGTGGATTCCTCTGCATCTCCAGGGCTGGGGTTCTAGAAACTGCTTTATCGTTTTCGTCTTTTGTGTGTTTGTTGTAAGTTTTGCGCAGGATTCTCATGAACGCTCTACCCCTGACCTCTCAAATGCACAATCTCAAGCCCTGGCCGCATCTGCTGACCCTGAATCTGCATTTCAGCCCCGCTTTGGGGTCCGTGGGCTTGCCGGGACATGGGAGCCTCACCTGCACTGTGACAGGGTCTGGGGGGAGGTGGCACTTAGGAAAACCCAGGGTGGGTCTCGATAGCCTTCCTGGAGACCCTGACTGCACCCCTGCTGAGAGCTTAGATTTGCTTGGGTGTCTGTGTGTGTGTGTGTATGTGTGTGTGCAAGTGTTTGGGTAGGGGTGTGGTTGTGTGTGTGCGAGTGGGTGGGTGTGTATGTGTGTGCATGTGTGTCTGTGTGTGTGTGCAAGTATACACCACACAGCAGCTAAGCCCTGGCAGGAGGTCTCAGAGGTGGGTCCATTGCAGTGCTGATGCCCACCCCGTGTGTCCTCTCAAGCACTCACTTTGCACCCCGTGGTGTTCATCTCTAGAAGGACTAGCTCCGTTTCAGGAAGGTGCTGCTGGGTGGGCTGTGGCCCAGGAATCACGAGGTAGGGGGCGAACGTGCTCTCTGGATGTGCCGGCCCTGGGGAGAGGAAGAGGAGGAGTCCCAAAGGTGGAGAGGCCCGCAGCCGAAGCCCCTCCCAGAGGGGGGAAGACTTCCGAAGAAGCGTGTAGGCTAAAGGGGTGCCCACAAATAAGCGTGGACCCATTTGTCATTTTCCATTTGACCATGAAAGTAATAGCTTACAGCCAGGCACGGTGGCTCACACCTGTAGACCTAGCACTTTAAGAGGGTAAGGTGGGTGGATTGCTTGAGCTCAGGAGTTGGAAATCAGCCTGGGCAACAGGGTGAAACTCTGTCTCTTTAAAAAAATTGTAAAATTAGCCAAGTGTGCTGGCACGTTCCTGTAGTCCCAGTACTCGAGGCCGATGTGGAAGGATCACATGAGTCTGGGAGGGCACACGGGGTGGGCTGTGGTGAACTATGATCACACCACTGCACTGCAGCCTGGCTAACAGAGCGAGACCCTGTCCCTGCAAAAAAAAAAAGAAAAAAAAAAAAGCCTATAATTACTACTTCTGGGTCTACACCCAAAAACTTGGAAGCAGGATCTCAAAGAGATATTTGCACACCCGTGTTGTTCGTAGCGACGTTCTTCACAACCACAAAAAGGTGGAAGCTACCAAGGGTCCATCGTGAGCTGAATGGATACGCAATGTGGTCATCCACGCAAGCGAATATTCCTCAGCCTCAAAGAATGAAGTCCTGATACATGCTACAACACGAATAAGACTTAAAAACCTGATGTGAAGTGAAAGAAGCCAGCCAGCAAAGACCACATCCTGGATGATTCCATTCCAAAATGTTCAGAATAAACAAATCGTAGGGACAGAAAGTAGAGTGGTGGTCGGCAGGCCCTGGAGGGGGGTTTAAGGAGTCGTTGATGGGATTCGAGTTTAATTTTGCAAGATAAATAGAGTTCTGGAGATTGCACAGCAACATGAATGTTACTTAACACTACTGAACTGCACATTGGATTGTGTGTATTTTACCACAGTAAACACACAAGGAAAAGGAGGAGAGGGGAGCAAAGGAGGGAAGGGAGGGCAGGAAGCTAGCTTCCACCTTTTGACTGTTGTGAAGAATGTTGCTATGAACACTTTGAGATCCTGCTTCCAATTCTTTTAGGTATAGACCCAGAAGCCTTTTTTTTTTTTTTTTTTTTTGAGATAAGAGTCTCACTTTGTCACCCAGGCTGGAGTGCAGAGCTGCCATCTCAGCTCACTGCAGCCTCCACCTCCCGGGTTCAAGCGATTCTCCTGCCTCAGCCTCCTAAGTAGCTGGGACTGTAGGCGCCTGCCACCACACCCAGCTAATTTTTGTATTTTTAGTAGAGACAGGGTTTCACCATGTTGGCCAGGATGGTCTCAATCTCTTGACCTCGTGATCCACCTGCCTAGGCCTCCCAAAGTGCTGGGGATACAGGCGTGAGCCACCTGCCCGGTCGACCCAGAAGTCTTATTTATAGGTCTTTTTTTTTTTTTTTTGCGGTGGGGACAGGGTCTCTCTCTGTTGCCCAGGCTACAATGCAGTGGCATAATCACAATCACGGCTCACTGCAGCCTCAACCTCCCGGACTCAAGTGATCCTCCCACCTCGGCCTCCAGAGTAGTTGGGACTGCAGACACGTGCCATCACACCTGGCTAATTTTTTTTAATAAGGGAGGGAGGGAGGAAGGAAGGGAAAGGGAGAGAAGGAAGGGAGGGAGGAAGGAGAAAAGAAAAGGAAAGAAGGAAAGATAGAGAAGGAAGGAAAGGGGAGAGGAAGACTCCTTCCTTCCTTGCAGTCCCCTGTAGCTGCTTTCCTCGGGAGCATGAACTGATCGTCTTGGTCTCTCTACTGAGACTGGAGTGGAGGGACACAGCACTCCATCAGGGGGACCGTGGTCCCCAACTCTAGGACTGTCCAGCGGTAAAGCAGGCAGTAGCCTCAGAAATGCTGGGAGGAATAGGGAGGCCGCTGAGG